TCCCACACGGACCACCGAATCCGTACCAACTCGGACCATACCCGTACAAATCCGGATCTTGACCCGTGCCACAAAGGACCGTGCCTATCCGAAACCAACCCGTACCGATCCGAACCATTTTTCTTATAGGGTAATAGTTCGTATCTGCCATTATCTGAATTAAATTATAGCATCAATCAGCTTTTTACATCGTCAATCGTCCACTTCACAACAATTGAAATTTTTACATCTCAAGAAATTGACAATAATTTTTCCGATGAAAATTTTTTATCCAATCATCCTAAAAAAAGACGCCGTAATTGATCTTTCAAATCCAGCCTTCGTTGGCGATAATAATTCATTTATTGAAAATCAGAACATGGTAATAAACTAATGGGTAGGTTTAGGGAATAATTACAATACTGCAAATCTAGTAGTTCAAATTTCTAATTAATATAATGATAACAAATAAGCAATAGAATAACAGATAAGTAATAAATATACCGGGTGAGTGAAAGTCTCTGAACGGGACATTTTTTACTATCTCCGCTTATAATAAATTGTGGATTATGGTGAAATCGGATCATCGTGAAATCTAAGGGCTTAATTTAAAAATATAAGCCTTCACAACCCTAAAAGAACCTACCTATACTCTTGTATTATAAACCCTAACCCTAAATACTAGTCCGGATTCAAAAAAAGCCTACAAAAAATATATCCCAAAAAATTTTAAAAATTGGAATTTCACAATGATCCGGATTTCACGATCATCCGCGACATAAATTTTCCTGTGACATTATATATTTGCAATGTAAATAGCTATATATCGATACTGTATTTGTCATTTGTCATTATATGTTTTTAATAAATAAAAATTTATCGTTTGATAAGTTGCATATAAAAATAAGCAAATGTTATTTACAATATAACAAGGGTACGGCAAGTTACGACAAGTTACATTATACAAATTGAGTTACGACAAATAGAAAAAGTTATAACTTGAATAATTTTATCGGTACATGCGCAAGTTATAGCAAGTTGTAATTTAAATCAAAACGTTACCTGCATCTCTATTTGTACCATTGGTATAGGAGGTTAAATAATTACGTAATTTTTATAAGTTTTATAAAAATGGTTTAATAATTTTATGCATGAATAGTTAATTTAAAAATATGTCGTACATATCGATATAGACTAATTTAATATATATAAGTGATTAATTACAGATACATAGCTAAAAAATTTGTCGACAAATTCCATTCACATACTTATTTGAAGTTACAATTAAGATGCACAGCACATAATTTTGAGAGAATAATTCCTGATGAATTATTATTTTTTTTTCTATTATCATAAAATAATTGCTTTGATATGACAATTCTAACAAGTCTATGATTTCTAATACAGTATAGTACCTAAGCATATGATCACGAAATCATTAAAGATTTGTGTTACTTCTGAAGTAGCACAAGTATTTAACGATCCCATGATCCTGTGATTAATTTTGGCAATTTTGAACTCATCAGAATCATTCATTGAGGCGGATTTCGAGACGGTCAGTTTGATGTTAAAAGCATCCAAAACGACCAGTGGATCAAAGTTATTCATTATTAAATACTATATTATGCATATTTTTAATAGCAAATCCAAATATGCTCACAAAACGGTAAAATTTTAAGAAATTCTGTAATGACACGTACACACGTATAGAACAAATTTATTTTATTTCCATAAAATAGGTGAAACTATTACATATATAAAATTTTTTATGCACTCAATGAATAAAAAAAAATAAATTCAAATCTATATACTGTTAACCCTCTCAAGATCGATAACCTGTCAAATATGGATTATCAAGTCCGTTTCCGTTATATAAAGCTAATAATCAATACAGATACAAAATTTGTGCGTATCGGTTTTGGGAGGTTCAACAGTAATTAGATTCGTCACAATACCCCCACCCCCCTCGATTCTATTTATTTTTCGAACATAGTAATTTAAGGAAATGAAGAAATATCTCTTAAGCTGATTCTAACCTGCAGATCATA